CTGCAGCCTGCCAATACCTGTTCTTACCTTCGACCTGCACGTGTGAAGCCCAGGCTGAAACGTTAGCACAGCTGTTAGCATTAGCTCTGCGTCATCCATCGTCTTCTCTGGTGAGGACTGTGTTTGACCTTCTTCAGCTGAAGGTCGTCCAACGTCATTTTTATTCCAGCCTCCAAAATGTCTCGTTGTCCACTCCTGACTTTTTTTTTTTTTTTTTTTTAAATCTCCCGTTCCTGCAGCTCACAGACAGGAGGAGGAACCATTTTTATTTCCATGGTTTTTTTAACCGTTGGATGTTTTTTCTGTTTTTTTTTTTTTTCTACTTTCACATCTCGACGCCTACGTACAGTCTCGGAGCTGAAACACAGCCGCTCACCTCAGAAGGCTTTTGTCTTCTCTGTCTTCTTTGTCTGCTCCTGTTTGTTCCAGTGACATCATCGTCACAGATCCACATGTTCAGGTCGAAAAACAGAGAGGATCCTGGGTTGTCTTCTCCACCGTGAAACAAAAAGGTGAGAACGTCTGTAGTCACACCGAGGTCTGACCGCAGCTGGTGTCCCCTGGTGTCCACTGGTGTCCCCTGGTGTCCCCTGGTGACCCCCGGTGTCCCCTGGTGTCCCCTGGTGTCCCCTGGTGACCACTGGTGTCCACTGGTGTCCCCTGGTGTCCCCTGGTGACCACTGGTGTCCACTGGTGACCACTGGTGTCCACTGGTGTCCCCTGGTGTCCCCTGGTGACCACTGGTGTCCCCTGGTGTCCACTGGTGTCCACTCGTGTCTGCTGGTGACCACTGGTGTCCCCTGGTGTCCTCTGGTGTCCTCTGGTGTCCCCTGGTGACCACTGGTGTCCACTGGTGACCACTGGTGTCCTCTGGTGTCCCCTGGTGTCCTCTGGTGTCCCCTGGTGACCACTGGTGTCCCCTGGTGTCCACTGGTGTCCACTCGTGTCTGCTGGTGACCACTGGTGTCCCCTGGTGTCCACTGGTGTCCCCTGGTGTCCACTCGTGTCCACTGGTGACCACTGGTGTCCCCTGGTGTCCCCCCCGTCCCCTCGTTTCATCCAGACCATTGATGCGACTTCAGTATCTGTTTATGTTTTTGTAACTAAGACGTTTTTAGACGAACGTTCAGCTTCTTATAACACTGTTAACAATGGGATTTTTTTTTTTTTCTTTTTTGGGGTACGGAGGGAGCGGGGAACCAGCGCCCTCCTCTGGTCGACCTTTACTGAAGATGTTTTTTTTTTACTTTTGTCACAGCTTTTACAACGAGAACAGTTTGACAGAAAATGAAGTCATAATTTAGAAAGTTGAAAAAGTCGTCGAACATCAGTGAAGCAGCGGAACGACAGTGAAGTGGAAATGTGGAAAATCTGTGTGTGTGTGTGTGTGTGTGTGTGTGTGAATAATGGATGAAGCACGTCCTCTGATGAAGAAGAAGAAGAAGAGAAGTCGTGGCAGCAGCTGCAGCCACTTCCTTCGTCTTCTCACTGGTCGATAGACATTAGTTTTCACTGCGGTGATAAATAATCCTGAAGCTGAAGAGACGCAAATAACAACGGGGGGGGGGGGGACAGGTCACCTGACCTTCACTGCCAACACTTCACTGACTTCACCGACACTTTCAAGGTCAAAGTTCACTAACAAATAACAACAGAACTCTGTTGGTGTCTGTGGAACAAGTTCTTCCCACGTTCTGGTCCAACACCTGAACGTCTCTCAGCCTACGTAGGGACCTGACGTCTGGGTTTGATAGTGGGTTTTTAGGAGCATACTGCCACCTACTGGACTAGAGTGTGTAGTGTCATGGTTTGACCAGTGACTTTTTCAGAGTCGACTCCTGACTCCTTGACGTGAGATTCAACCAATGAGAATTGTCACGCATTTAGCCGATTTACGATGTTTCGTTACGTCTCTACTGACCCCGCGTTCACTGTCGGAGGAAAAAGAGTTTTAAAATTTCAAACAGCTTTTCAACCTGGAAAGAAACGACTTTAAAATCAGAGTTTTATTACCAATCATATTCATCTTTAAAAACACCTCATTTTATTTCATCAAGTTTTTCACGTAATAAATATTTACAAAGGAATTTTCCGAACATTCACTCCATCCGTCACATGCACCTGATCTCAACCCAAATCTCCCATCATGCCTTGCTTTGCTTGCTGTTCACGTCAGTGTAACTCCACATGAGCTGAAGTGAAGCTGCAGAAATCACTGTGGAAATAAATTAACTCTGAAGATCACACACACACTCATACGCACACACACACACACACACTCACAGAAATGAATTAATTAAAAGTTAGGCACCGACCACAAGATGAAAAACGCAATCATTTGGAGGAAATTAATTAGAAAAAAAAAACTCATTAATGATTCAAAGTCATGAACAGTTACAGCACAGTTGATAAAACAACGGCAGTGATTAGTTTAACAATGATTTTTCACAGTGGGAATAAAAAGTTTTGACTTCCTGCAGGACTCGAACGGCGATAAGAAAAGTAAAGAAACCGTTCCCGGCGGTTCTGCTTCGTCTCTCTCGCTTTTCTTCACTTGTATTTTTGTAGAATGGCTTCTTTTTTTTCTGAGCTCCTGACTTGGTGTTTGTGAAAAGAACATGCCGTGCAGGCATAGAGGCATCAAAGTGACGGACAAGTGACAAACTAAAAAATTTAAAAAAGTTTCACTTGGTCGCAGTAAAATATGTGTTATTTTACTTGTTATTTTGTTGCCAGTCACAGAGCTGTTACAGCAGTAGTTAGCAGCATGTGCAGGCACAGAGGCATTATTAGTCAGCAAACAGCAAATAGTTCAAAACTAAAAAAAAGATTTGTCTGCGAACAGATAAACACTTGTTTCCAGTCAGATCGTTCCACAGCTTTGTGCTAGCCTCAATAGGCAAGTCGCGCAGGCACAAAGGCGTTACTATTGAGGTGACAATCTACAAGGCAGTGGAGTTTATTTTTATGTATAATCAACTCTTAAACCTCAAATGTGGCGTTATTAAGATGTTTTACTCCAGGGAGTGAGGGTGGGGGGGTCAGGGGGTGCAACCAATCAAATTAATTTCCCTTGATATTTGTTTAATTCTGCCAGAAAAGTTGCACTGATTTGTTGATGAATTCACTTTGTTCAGTTAATACAGTGTCGAGATATCGTAGTGTTTCAAAAATGTGTGTGTGCATGGGGGTGGTGGGGGGCGTCGGGGGGGTCGGGGGGCGGGGGGGGGGTCACAATAGTCATCTTAATGGGTGGGGGGGCTGCTGCTTTAGAATCATGTTTGACTGTAAATAGACTGTTGGTCTGATGAGTGAGTGCGCAGGCAGAGAGGCATTAGTCAAGAAGACGTAAACACTGATCAGTTTCTCTGCTTCACTGTGTCGTTGGTCACTTTGGCCTCAGTCGTTGTTCATGTAACAGAGAACAAAGAAACACGTGATGATAAACACGGAGGTTTCATCCATTTAGGATTCATAAAAAAAAAAAAAAAAAAAGAAGATCCACACACTCTCAGAGTTCCTGGTTCCTCAGGTTCCGGTGGCTGAAAAGTCAAACTCTGTCAGGTGGAAATCCCAGAATTCAGTTTCCATCTTCAGCCGTCGTTACCTGGAGGCCTCGGGAATGACTTTCTTAAACCACTGAGCCACCGCGACGTCCACTCTCAGCACTAACGTGACTCCGACGAGCAGAAAAACGCTGCTCACCAGGAAACTGCAGGCTTCGAACATCAACCTGACGGAGCAAACGAGACCAGACTCAACGACAGAAACATTAATATATTATTATTATTGTTTAGGGACGTCACATATTAACTTATTGATCCGATATTCTGATACTGTTCACTTCAGTTCTGATTGCGATATCAACTAACACCGATGTAGCGGAGCAGTGGTGCCCTGGTGGTGAAGGAAGTGAAGTGTCGTCTGCTCTCTAAGGTGATGGGTCCTCCCATCCCCCCCCCCCTCTGCCCCCCTCCTGGGGACAAAAGTTTTTTCATCCCCCCATATTAAAACACTATTCAGCACCTGCTAATATTTATTTATTTATTTATCAGTTCAAACCACTGTATGATTAAAAATACATTAATAAAATGAGCTGCAATGCTGCCATCTAGTGGCTTTCACATGCAGCTGTTTTTCCCAGACATCATTTTGTGAAACCCAGGCTCTATGTTATTAGGTTTTCATTATCGGAGGGAAAAACCGACAACATTCTTACAGATATAGATGTAATTATGCTAACATTCCTATTACAACTTGTGGAAAATCGCAGCGTTGACTCTTTAGAGTCGACTAACATTTAGAGATTATAAAATAACATTTTAGATTTTGAATCTGACATTTTATATTTTACTGAAAACAGCCTTCGTAAACTAAACCTAAACTCAAACGATATCCACATCCATTGAACAGAGACTGGAGGTCGACACCAGCTCACAGGAAGTCTCCGCTCTAAAGCCTTGAGTGCCTGTAAAGTCGGAGTGAGCTGGAAAATGCTCTCAGCCACTTACTTGGGTGCAAAAACCTTCCAGACCATTAGGTGTCTCCTGAGGACGGCGGCAGCACTGACGGAGGCAAAGACCTGGGGAGAGCGGGCGGAGGAAAACATCAGGAGCTGAGCCGGAGAAGTGAGGAGGGAGGTGATCAACAGCGCCTCCTTCAGGTCGTCGCTGGAAATTCACTCTGTGTGTGCGTGTGCGTGTGTACCTGTGCTCCCAACAGGAAGAGGTATCGTGTGGAGAGCTGCAGCAGAGCAGAGCTGAACTGATCTGGGTTTTCTCTCAGCCTCATCTCCATCACAGCATCTTCATCTTCATCTCCACACGCTCGTCCTCCTCCCCCTCCTCCTCCACCTCTGCTGCCACGTACCTCACACGCCAGAGGCCAGAAAAGAAGCAAAGGACATCCAACTGTTGGGGAGCAGAGAAATGATGAAATAACTCCACAGAACAACATCCATCTGACCCTGAGGTCCTGACCCCGAGGTCCTGACCCTGAAGTCCTGACCCTGACGTCCTGACCCTGAGGTCCTGACCCTGACCCTGAGGTCCTGACACTGACCCCGAGGTCCTGACCCTGACCCTGAAGTACTGACCCTGAGGTCCTGACCCTGACCCCTGAAGTCCTGACCCTGAGGTCCTGACCCTGAGGTTGAAATATTCAAACTCCTTCGACATTTTCTCAGTACCTGCAAAGAGGGCGTGTGAAGCGAAGGTGTTGAGCGCCACCAGTGAGGCGGGCAGGATGGTGCCGCTGTGTCCTTCAGGGAACCCCACAAACGCTGCCCCCCACTGGATGGAGGGGAAGGTGGGGAGGTGACCCGTGGCGTGAAAGAACTGGCTGGAGGCCAGCGACCACATCACGATGGGAGGCCAGGACACGGTGAAGCCACCTGAGGGACACGGAGAGGTCTTTGGAGATCAGAACTCCTCCGACTCCAGGAGGAGGACCACAGAAGAGGAGGAGGTTCAGGTCTTACCTGAGTGATGACCCCTCAGGGTGGTGGAGGAGGCGTGGATGTACAGCATGGCCCCCATCTCCAGCAGCAGCAGCAGAAAGGACAGAGCCATGCCCTCGGGGTGGAGCAGCAGCAGACCGACCCCCAGGAGGCCACAGAACAGGAGCAGAGGAGCCGAGTACACGGTTCCCAGACCGTAGGCCTCCACCGCAGGTCTGCCGTCCGCCCCGCCGCCTTCACCCACCTCCCCATCCTCCAGAGAACGCCGCATCCGCTGGTAGATCTGGGGGATGAGGTGGTGCAGCTCGGCCTGGGGGCTCATGCTGGTGCTGGCTCTGTAGCGAGGAGGCGGCAGTGAGGAGGTTCTGGATGAAGGTGAACTCCTGAGCTTGATGAACACGGTGAGAGGGTCCAACCAGATCAGGAACAGCCCCAGTCCCAGGAGGCAGAAGACGGCTCTGGGCAGGGTCAGCTGACCCAGGCGGATCAGCTCTCCCAGGTCTTTGAAGTTGTCCTCAGGCGTGGAGCTGACGGCCCAGTAGATCCCCAGGAACACCGACAGGAGCGGGAGGATCCAGCGGGCCGTGAACGCCGCTCCACCCGAGGAGTTGAGGTTACCGTAGTGACTGAGGCAGCGTTTGAGGAGGTACGTCCACAGCGCCAGAGAGACGACGGACAGGACGTAGTGGAGGTTCTTCAGCTGACTGTCCTGCAGCCGCGAGAGAGGGGAGAGGAACGGGGAGGGCCGGCAGGAGCCCTGCTCTTCTCGACAGGCGTGGAAGGACAGGGACAGGTAGAGGCTGAGGACCAGGAGTCCAACACCGCCCACCAGGGTCGTGGTCTCCTTCCTCACGGCTGAGGACGACAACGTCGGGGAGGGGAGTAGTCCGGCTGCCTTCAGGGGGTCGGGGGTTGGTGGGACAAGATGTCCACACCAGTTGAGATGGACGGGGACGTAAAGAGCCAGAGAGAAGAGGAGGAAGGTCACGACCCGGCCTTCAGCGATCACATAACTGTCCGAGAGCAGGGAGGCACAGCGGAGGAGGGAGACCACTAGAGGGGGAACTAGGAGGGGATGACTCAGCCAGCTAGCAGACCTGGCCGCCCTGGATCCGTTCTTTGTCACGGGACTGGATCGGGATCGAAAAGACGTCCAGAAGAAGAGGAGTTCAGAGGTGAGAGCGGACGCTGCGAGGCACCACGACACGTCGGCGTAGCCCCTGGCGAACCACTGAGCCACAGCCACCGACACTCCAACCACGAGAGCCACCACGACAGGAGTCCTCAGCCGGCGTGCGTTTTCCTGAATCAGCACCACGGACAGTTCTGACAGGACGTAGCAGGTCAGACAGGCGAAGGCCAGGACCACCAGACCGGCAGCCATCTTGAAGGGGTTAAATCGAGCCCAGGTGGCTCTGCAGGTGTCTCTGACCGAGCTGAGGTAGGACTGAAGAGAGAAGAGCAGCCGTGGGGGGGGCGGGCCCCCTCCTCTGACCCAGGACAGGTACTGGTCGGACAGACGGCTGAACTCACGCCTCAGCTGAGACAGGTTCTCTGGAGGAATGTCTGAGGCCATGCTGGAGTAGGTCTCCAGGAAACGGTTCACCTGAGGGACGAGGAGGAGAGAGAGAAAAAAAAAAATCAAACCAAACTGTGCTGAACGTCACAGACCATCCAGGAAGTCCTTCATCAGTGTCCGACTCTCTCTGGTGGGAAACCCCTTTGACCAGGCCTGAACCTGGGACACTACCTGCTTTGCATTGATCCACAGCGCCTCCAGCTGGCTGAGACCTTCAACTGCACCTTCCGTCTGCCCGTGAGGAGGGAACAGCGGCAGGAGGACCTGCCCCACGCTGCTGTAGGGCACGGGTACTCCCAGCAGCAGAGCCAGGGTGGGCACCAGGTCGGTCTGCGGCACCACCTCAGGTTCATCCTGCAAACAAAAGAAGAAGAATCAAACCGAGGCGATTGGTTCTGAAGAACCACAAAATCCTCCGACTCACAGAAGACGTTCCTGAGACCAGGACTGTCCACACACCAGGAGTCCAGACACAAATATTTCTAAACTAAGTCCAAACACTTTCACATGTTTTTTTTTTCCTCTGTGTTCAATTAATCCTCCACTTTCAACAACATGTTTTTGTGACGCCTCCATTACCCAGGAATTAGGAAAAGCAGAGCTGGACTAGTGTTTCTAGTGTGAACTGCGCTTTCACGCCTGAAAAAGTGTCGACCACCCGCTGCTACCAATTTACCCCCAGCTGGGCAGAGAGGAAACAACAACCGTGTGAGGGACGGTTCCTGCTGGTTTGAAGAGAAACGGCACAAACATCAGTTCCTGGTTCTTTTCTTTTCTCCTTCACACTGATGTTCAAGTGGACGTAACGATACCACGACAGGATTCTGACCAAACACAGTCATCGTTTATTTGTAAGAATTCTGCAAAATATAAAACAACAACAGAAGAAGAAGAGAAAGAACAGGAAGTGGAGAAAGAGTTCCACTGGAGAACACTGTTGGTGTCTGTGGAACCAGTTCTTCCCACGTTCTGTTCCAACACCTGAACATCTCTCAGCCTACGTAGGACCTGACGGCTGGGGTTGCTAGAGGGTTTTTAGGAGCACACTGCCCCCTACTGGACTAGAGTGTGTAGTGTCATGGTATGACCAGTGACCAGTGATTTTTTCAGATTAGGCAGTCGACTCCTGACACCTTTATTTAAAGGAGTAGTTAAAGTATTTCTACTTTAACTGGAGTTTTTAAAAACAAGTATCTGTACTTCTTATTGAGTACAAACCTTTAGTACTTCTCTGTTTTAACTTCACCAAAGAAACGCCTCCGATTGAAACACTAGGAACAAGTTCCCTACATGACCCAGTACTAGATTCCGATCCCGATCCCTAACCTGAACCCTCACCTACACCTGGTTCACTCAGGTTTCCTGCTCTGATCCGTCCCTGACTTTGTCTCTCTGTCCGGTCGTCTACACTTGAAGACCCCCCTCATCCTGGACTGAAGGTCTACCCACCTGTGACGGGGGTCCAGGAAACAGAGGTGCAGGACTGTAGAGGAAAAGAGCAGCGTCAGTTTCCTTCAGACTTTCTCCTCCGTGATCCCCGGTGTCGGTCATCCCGTGATCTCCCATCACCACCAGGAGAGTGTCGTTCTGCAGCCGCTCCATCACAGACCTGCGCCGGACAAATCATCATCAGTGAAAACGACAGCTCTGAAGATCACGGAGAACATCACCGCGGCCAACTCTCACCTGATGACCGCGTTCATCTGGGTCAGCTTGTCAGCCATGGCCGGGTGGTCGGGTCCAAACCTGTGGCCGCAGTGGTCCACCCCGAGAAAATGGGCCACCAGGACGTCCCAGTCGTCACCCGTCACTGAAGAAACCAAGACCCATGATATAAATGAGCGATGTTCAACCACTGTGTCTCGGCACGTTAGTGTTCCACGACAGATCGTCAGGTGAGTCGTGGAAAATGATAAAACAAAAAAACTAGGCTTTGTTTACGTCTATGAATCCGTCACAGGCAAAATACTTAAATACCCTCCCACTAGATGGCAGCAGATGGCTATAGAAACTTAAAAAAGGGAAAGATCTTTATGTATCTCTTTCTTCAACTTCCGATGCGAATTGAAGAAAGAAATGTGTTCAACTAAATAGGCCCATGTTTCAGAGCAACCGTGTTCAACTAAACAGGCCCATGTTTCAGAGCAACGAAATTGTGACTAGAAAGTTATTATATTTCATCACGTATTTGTTTTTGTTTCGTGGTGCATAAATATAAGTAGTACTAGTTATCTGCTGGAGTCGATCTATTGTACATAATGATACCAAACATGAGGTTGCACATGGTCTTAATAAAACTAGGACTAGACAGAATTGAAACACCACATACTGGTGGGATAGAGATGCTGCAATATCCCGTCGTCCACCGTGTGCAAATCCTTGACATTGAAAGACGGGAAGGGCAGAGAACGATGGAACTTCTTTGGAAAAAGACTTTCCCACGTGTCATCTCCCATGAACACCACACGTTTGCCTGCGATAGTTCGGCACATGGTTAAAAAAAACACGCCGAACACCACACGTTTGCCTGCGATAGTTTGGCACATGGTTAACAACAACAAAACAAAAAAACATACGAGTCAAATCTGACCATGTGATTTAGTCTGTGGACACGGAGACAACTCCAGGTGTGTGGACCTTCTCACCTGTTTGACCCAGCTGGTGGATCAGATTGTCCTCCAGGATGGCACTGGATGCAAAGTTGTTGCCAACGTCCACAAACGTGGGTAAAGATCCCGTGGTGAAGCCCTTGATCCTCTGCATGGTGGTCGTGGGTGGATCGGCGCGGAACGGGTAGAGTCGACTGTGGGACGGCCTGGACGACGTCACCTCCTCCAGAACTGGCAGCTTGTTCTCGTAAGGTCTTGGCGCCGCGTTACTGTGGTCGTAACGGGCGAAGTCGAACTTCAGGGCGTCAATGATGAGGACCACAGCTCGGCGGAGACGTGGCTGGACGTGGCAGAAGTCCACCGGTTCCCCCGCAGGCTGCAGGACGTCTCCACAGCTGCTGGTCCTGTTCACCTCCAGTCTCACGAGCAAGAAGCCACCCACGAACAGGTAGAGGCCCACGAAGTAGAGCGAGCTGATGCAGAGGAGCAGGGCCAGCACTGGGAGACCCTTCATACTAACCCACAAACACGGGTCGGTGTTGGTTTACTTCACAACCAAACATTCAATGGTTGAATATTTAAAGACAATCACAAGTGTAACATGTAAAGAAATCTCTCTTTAAAAGTGAGTCACACACACTTTGATTTTAATTCCTACCATTTATTAATCATTGTTTACACTCGATCTCGTTGTTACCTTGAACATGACAATGACGGTTTGTCTCATCTTATAGTTTTAAAGTCAACTATAACAACTCTTCACCTGCTACAGCTGAGGCTAACATTAGCATTAATGCTACCAGAGTGTAATTAACAGGTTAAGACTCACAGGTAGAGGCTCACGCGGAGCCTCTACGACAACACTGACAGGTTATAAACTGTGTGGAACAGTAGTAACACAGTACTAACACAGTTAGCCACAGCTAGCTCCGGTCTCTGTCGTCACTGACCTTGTCTCGGTCTCGGCGTTTCGTCCTCTCCTCGTCTCAGGGCGGAGGTGAATGTGTGTATGAATAACACCGAGGAGCAGGGACCTCAGGTGAACAGAGGAGGAACAGGAACCTCCCTCTCCTTCATTTGGACACACCGGTATGAGTGGTACGGCAGACAACAGCGTGGAGCCCCGGCGGAAGTGCGGGGACGGACGGCTTTGTATGCAACACCACCACCGAGTCTTTTAAAGTCATATTGCGAAAGTCTCACTTATTTTGTTAAAAAAAATATTTTCAATAATTAATAATAATAGTTAATACAATTGTTTATACAAAAATAAGAAATGCATGTTATATAGAATAATTATAAAAAAAAATATTTTTAATCTTCGGATTTTATATTAACAAATGAAACAGCTTTATTGCGATTTCTGACACTAATTTTTATTTATTTTACTGTTGGGACATTTCGGATTTTATATTAACAAATGAAACACAAAGCTTTATTGCGATAGCAGTATAATATTTCTGACACTAATTTCTGTTATTTATTTTACTGTTGGGACGCTGTTTATTAATTTACTTAATTTTTTAGCTTAAATGTGTCCAATTTTAATTCAAATATTTCATATTTGTTGAGCACTAACACTGACAAAAATCACAAACACAGCAGAAATGATCGAACATGACTTTTATTTAATTATCCTGTAAATAATATTCCAATGACTTTGAACAGTTTCCCAGTCCATTTCACACCATCCTCCTCCAACACAACTGTGAATTTGAACCAGTGCTTTGCGACACTTCAAACCAAATCATCAAACTCCCACTCAGAACCTTTCACTTTGAATTCTAAAAAAAAAACTCAAACATTTCAAAACACTGTGCTGATTCATCTTCTTATTAAAGGACTATGGGAAATAACAGAAGTGTTGAAAATTCATCAAGTACAGCCACTAAGACTGAAGGTCAATTCATTTTACAGGACATTTATATACGGTACTCATTAATGGGAGAAAATTAAATATTTTCCACCTCCTGAAGGTGGTTGGTTTACTGTTGAACTACACATTCAGGAACTTTTCACTTTTGAACACCTTAAGTGCTACAGCCTGAAGACGGTGGTCCCTGAGATGACACAGGAACTGTCGGTGACGTCTGAAAACAGACCGATAGAAGACGTCAGGACGATGTGGTGGGAAGTTGGAGTTGACATTTCTTCTTGTTGTCAGCAGCTGAGTGGACGTCACGGTCTTCAATCACGTCGTCTTCACTCCGCTTCTGTCTGTTGTTGTTTTTGTTAAGAGTTTATGATTGGACTTGTCTGCTACTGAGGGGATTCTGATTGGTCCTGAGCCTCTTCACTCTTTTCCTCCAACACCTGTGCAGGAGCTCTGGGCTTCGTCTTTGACAACCTGCTGTAGATGGTCATGGCCTGAGGAGCAGGGAGAGAAGATGAGTGTGAAGAAATGTCCAGACTGGAGTAGAGTTGCCCAGAACAGGTTTAAAATGAAAATGTGCTGCGGGTAAAGCTACCTGTGTGACCATGCTGCTGATGTCTCCGGTGTGAGAGGGCAGGAGGATGGTGTTGGATTCTTTGGCCAGTTTGGAGAAAGCAGACACGTACTGTTCAGCCACACTGAGGGAAGCTGCTGCATCTCCATTCTGTTCGATGCCCAAAATAGATAATTATTAAAATGTGTTTTAACAACATCGAGGTCGTCAACTGTGAAGTCTCTACTCGCCTGTTCAGTCAGAGCCACTGACAGCATACGGATGGCCTCGGCTTTGGCCTCGGCTTTGGCTAAGACAGCTTGAGCCTCGCCTGAAAATGTGCAGAGATTTATCGATGACACCCAGCAGTAAAAGTACTTCATATCAAAACAGACAGTAAAAAGAGGACAAAGACGACACGACGGCCACAGAGATAAAATCTCCGACAGACGACACGACGGCCACAGAGATAAAAACTCCGACACAAATAAGTTAATTCACCAACCAGCAGCTTTGTTGATCTGCTCGGCCTTTTCTCCCTCGGAGGCGAGGATCTGTGCTCGTTTACGACCCTCTGCCACATTAATGGCAGCTTCCCTCGACCCCTCAGACTCCAGCACCGTGGCTCTCTTTCTACGTTCCGCCTCAACCTATTTACAAAGTACATAAAACGTGAGCAGCCTCAACCTATTTACAAAGTACATAAAGAGTGGGTGCTAAGAGTTTGATCTCAGAGAAATATCAAAAGGTGAGAAGAAAAGTCCTTAAACTTCAGACCTTAACCTCAGAGTTTGAGGGGAAAAAAGGGTCAAAAGTTTGGGTCCAAATCAGAGTTCTGATCTCACCTGCATTTGCATGGATTCTTTGACACGAGGTGGAACATGAATATCTTTGATTTCGTACCGGAGGCAACGAATTCCCCAATCATCTGATGCTTGGTTGATGGAGTGGACCATGTTGGCGTTGAGGGATTCCCTTTCCTTCAAAATGAAGTTAAAGGAATGCTTTCGTTTTTTGTGTTTCATTTTCCTTATTCTAGTCACCAAAGGTTTGTTGTCCTTACCCTAAAAACTTTATCCAGTGTAAGTTTGCCCAGTTCGGAACGCATGGTGGTCTGGGCCAGCTGTGTGACTGCGTACTCTGGGTCCTCCACACCGTAACTGGCCTAAAAACAAACATTAACTCAGGGTTGAGGCTAAAATCCCAGCAGAAACATCTAATCTCTGTATAAACTTTGATTTCCTTCCACCACACCTTAAAAGGGTTGATGATCCTCAGGTAAAGGACTCCATCAATCTGTAATGTTACGTTGTCTGGAAGGAAACAAGAATGAAATACACCAGAGGTCAGAGGTGATAAAATCACTGATCCAAACAAGACTGAGGAGCAGAGCAGCCATGTTTACCTAAACTCACGGCAGACTGTTCTGGAACATCGATCACAATCTCTTTCAGACTTTGCACGTAGCGAATGCGGTCCAGTACAGGAATGAGGAAATTCAGACCCTAAACAGAAGTGAGGGAAAAAAAACTGAACCATGTTCGCTGTTTATGTATCAAAGTACTGGATCTTTCAGTCAGTGGAAAGTACCGGCTCTAGGATGCGGTGGAAGCGACCCATCCTCTCCACCACCCAAGCTTCCTGTTGGGGCACAAACAGGACCACCGTGTTCATGGGCAAACTGGACGCCCATCGCTGCTGCGCTGGAGTGACCCACAGCTTTGGTGCCGTTCTCTGTGTCTGCTACAGTCACACACATGAACAACAACAACAACAACAACAACAACAACACAACGGGTTTGTACGATGTTCAAATAATAACATATTATGCTAGAAAACCAAACCTGCAAAAGATGTGAAATATGTCAAGAATAGCTGTCACAGTAAAACTGTTCTATTCTATTGTGGGTAATGGTTAAATTATTGCACAAAAACTTATAAAATAATAATAAAGTTGCACTTTTATGAGTTCAAAACTTAAAACGAACATTAAGAAACAATCAATTTAAAAATCAATTACATAATGTATCGATAACATATTACAACATACATAATAATGTTTAAAACATAACACTCAAAACAGACAAGTCTGTGATGGAACTGATGAATGACGTCCACGGACTGTTAACACACTGATGCTCATGGAATGACACCCGCTAACATGCTAGACCACCGAAACTGCCGCAGCAAACCCGGAAGTTACCTGGAGAATGGCGCCGCCTGCCCGACACAACGATCGTAACATCATTTAAACAGAGTTTAATGAAAAAAGAGTTAATTCAGTCTCTGAAACCACTCCACAGAGAAAGTCAGTACTCATGTGAATGACCCTAGCTCTACAGGAAGCTAATGTTGCATTACTAGTGCAGCTCTGAATTAAGTCCGTCAAAGGGAGAAACCAGGACACCAACAAAGATTCCGCTTGTCTGCGTTCATGTGTTTCTTTAATGAATTGGATGAAGAAATTATAAATGTAAATAAACTGTAGTAAATATACAGAACTATTCAAATAATCTATTTGGTTTAACAATCGTGAAATAATGAATGTACACATTTTTGTTTCATCTACATAAGTGTAATGACTCATTTACTACACTAGGTGGCAGTAATGTTATGTTATATATACAGCCGCTGTCTGTAAAATAAAAATAAAACTTATTCTGTCCTTTGTTTAAAGTCAAAGGGAAGTTCATTCATTTATTAAAGTGTTCTTTTTGTACTTAAAACACATTCAGCCTGAATAATATAATAATTATTGATAAAAGTCCCTAAAATACATTTTGACAAAAGGGGATATTTAAACATAACGTTTACAACTAAAAATGAATTATTGTTCTCAACAATTGAGTCTCTGCGATCGATTACACTTTGGAGACTCACTGCGACATGACTTTTATACAATATATCATAACGCTTAAATGAGTGATATTTTTTATGGTCATATGTTCAGAATGTCAGGTCGTAAAGTGACCTAATAATGGCGGAGCAGAGTTGTCAGTATTTGAAGGAGATAATACTTATCTACGTCTTATTGTTAAAATCCGATAAAAAAAAGTCGACTCTTTCTCTAATTAAAAGTTCCCATTGTGCTCCAGTGTCTGCGTCACCTGTTTCCTCCTCAATCCCGCCTATTTCAGTAATTGGACAAGATACATTCGTATCCCCGCCCCTAATCACAAATCAAACCTTGCCATTGGACAGAGTACGTGTCGCTCCCAATGTAAGTCTCCTCCCTCGGGTTCTCTGGAGCTCTGTGTCCTCAGGTTATCCGTCAATCTGAGTAAAACCTGTGATGGGACGTTTAATAATGGCGATACCGGGGTTCGATAACTGTCAAAGTTTAGCGAGAGAAAAACTTGATTAAAGTGGATTTTATTTTTTTGGACCAAGTCAGTGCGGGGACGTTAAAATGTGACCACTCACAGTAAATCTCCGCCTGCTCTGTAAACTGAGTCAAACAAGTGGATTTAATCGCGTGTTGCCATGTCGTTACTCTGCGTCAGAGGTGAGTCCTGGCTACACTTTTGCTGCATATGTTCACACTTCTGCTCTAAAACTATTGAAATAAATATCAATTACTTGACAAAAACAAAAAAAAAGTGTTTTGAATGCGGATAGAATCCAGCTTAACTAGTTTGCCAGCAGTGGACATCCTTCCTCCCCCCGCGCCTCCCCACAAAGAGGTGAAAAGTAGCGTAGAAGCTATCGTTTTCACGTTCAATATCAATAAATATTAACAAGAAAATAAAACAAATACATTCGTAAAACTGTTGAATTTCTTATCAGTGTTTTAAAAGTAATGTCAACACACACACACACAACAGCTGTTTGTGTCTCACACTCTAGTCTACATTTGTGGTTTGCATTGATATAAAAAACAAGACAGTTTGATATGAATAAACGCAGCATTGAAATCAACATTATTTACTTAAAAGTGGAAACTGATCCCAGATCGAATTATACAGCGATCTTTTTTTTGTTCTATCTATTATTTTTGTTATGGTTTTCATGCAAAAATCAAAATATATATATATATTCTGAAGACTGTTTAGACCAGGTATGGCCAAACTATGGCCCGGGGGCAGGATGTGGCCCTTTTGGCTTTTTAATTAGGCCCGCTAAACATCTCCAAATTTTGTTATTAAGTTATATTATGATTATACTTTGCCCGCGCCTGGTCTAGACAATGATGCGTGCACCTGACTGGTTGGTCGTTTTTAAACACACTTAAACACAAGCTAAAAAGAAACTATGGCAGAAAGTCACAGTGTTTTTAAGTTTCTGCTGTATTTGTTGTTTTAACCTAATTAATCAATAAAATGTTATTCTGCTAAAAACACTCAAAATAGCTCGTACATTACAACTGACCTAAAGTACTTTATAAAATTCAAAGTATAAATGGATATCTTGTACTTTCCATATCTCTTCATGTCACCGTCATTTGTCTCCTCCATCTGTCACTTTGACAAGTGACGCGTGAAATACCAGTGAGCATCAGGGTCAGAGAGGGAACTGTTGTAAGTTTTCAAACTTATCGCTGTCGAAACTCTTTTGTCTGACCTGTTGGTACTTTATGGTCAGTCGGTCCCAGGTTTTTTTTTTGTTTAATTAGTTAACAAACGAGCCACAAGAGGCAGCTTTAAGGTCAACCTCTGAGAGATTTCATGTAGA